ATAAATAACGAATGTCAAAAAAATCAGACAAAAGGATATGCGAAAAGAAGAAAAATCCAAAAACATTAAAAAAAAAAAAAAAAAAGAGAGAGAGAGAGAATTAGAAATAAAAGTAAATCCTGAGAAAAAGAGAGAGATAGGAGGTTAAGAGAGAGTAGGAAATTACAGAGAAAGTAAAAAGAGAAACCAACAGAAAATATCAAGGAAAAGAGAGACACGGAAGGAAAGTGTTTTGACAATTCAGATGGCAAGAAGCAGACGACAAAAGAACAAAAATACTACTCAGCTTCTTTTCATAAAAAAATGAATGATACAAAATTACATTTGAAGTTTGGAACACTTTTGCATAATTAAGTTTAAACTGAAAACAAAAGACTGCCAAATTTTCTTGATTAGATAATGTCTTCAAAATAAAAGTTGCTATAGCCTTTGGCTTAGTCAACCATTTTCTCGAAATCTCATGGAACGTTCCCACATTTAAATTATCCGCGTTTCTGATTTTATCAACAAAATTAAAGGAGATGGGCGCTGACGTAGCTTTGCTTAATCTTCCTTCAATCTGTATCAGATGGAATTGCACGAATTAACATTTTCTTTAAACATATGGAGACTGGCTGCACTTAAAAAAAAAACAGATTTTTTTTAAAAAATGCCTGTATAATATATTACGAAACATTTTACGAAGCTTAGCTTGGCACACAGACTCAAGTATGAGGTACCCTGTGAATATCGAATTCGCTTTACAGTCGTAAGGGTCAATCAGAATAAATTGCTAACCATTACTCTACGCCGAGAGTCACTTTGATGTGGTGTAATGAAATTAACAAGCTTGTCTCGCTAAATTAATTACGACTGAGTAGTGAGTTCGATCCTCACTGGGTACTCCATGTTTTCGGCCTTGCGCTATGCTTATAAAATTATGGGGCACTTCAATGTAGTATAAGGGTTAGCAAGCTTGTCTTGCTAGATCTATTAGACTAAATAGTGAGTTCGATTCTCACTGGGTGCCCTATATTTTCGGCCTTAGCAAGCTTGTCTCGCTAGATCAGTTATGACTGGAAAGTGAGTTCGATCCTCACTAGGTGTTCTGTACTTTCGTCCTCATGCCACATCTAAGCTACGCTTAGAAAATCGCCATTACCCCACGCCGAGGCGCTAACGAAACAGCGGGTGGAGTTAAGGGTAAATACCCATAATTCCAAGGTGTTAACGAAAAGTTCGAGAAATTTAACCAAGAAAAAATTTCCTTGCTCTAACACTTAGTTTCTACCATCTCTTTCGAAGTAGTCCCTATCTGATGTTTTCACATAACTGTCCGTACTGCATTCTTTTTATCCTGATCAAATTACTTCAACATTTGAGTCTCATCTTATATATCTGCAAAGATCATCTTGTATCTAACATAATAGCTGATGAAACTTCCACATCATGTTCAGCGAAAGATATTTGTATGTATTCTTTAATGATGGTATTTCATAAGAATAGTTCATAATACAATTATGTAATTTGATAATATTGCTGTTTAATTCAGTATATACTGCCATCAACATAACTATAATCACCATTGTTATTATGCTGATGTTATTTAGAATACAATCATCTATCTAAAGTTGTCAGTACCGACGTCACGAAGAGCGGGTATATTGGAGGAAGAAAATGCTTATACGGTGCAAGAATTTAAAACAGTTCCAAACTTTTACATTTCTCATTATTTAAATATCAAGAATCCATTGTCGATGATTTAGATAGACCGAACATGTGAGCAACGACGAAGCCTTTGTCGAGAATGGAAACAAAAAGGAAACTTATACTTAACATCAGGAAGAGGCAACGTAATGATGAAGCGTGTAACATATTTGATTAACTTGAGTAAATAGATGGTAGGACAGGGTTTAGGAGAAATAACAAAAACACAAAACTTATTGAATTCTACGAGGGATAGGAAGATGTGGAGCGCCATGAGCGTCTACGTCCTGAAGGGACACGGCACATAAAAGAAAAAGAATGTTGCAGCCAATCGATCCTCCAGCCTTCTTCGGGTGTACAATCGTGTAAGGAAATAGAAGAGACTATTTTTTAGTTACGCAAATCGATAGACACATGAGGAAGTCAGGAGAGCACAACGACCGAACGTTGTGATAACAACAAAAAATTAGGAAAATAGTCGAATATAGATATGTATCAGGGATATATATATATATATATATATATATATATATATATATATATATATATATATATATATATATATATCAAATGAAGATATAAGCTATCTCCATTCGACAGAATGAGGCAGATAAATCTAGCGTATTGTTTTTACGAATGTAAACAAATGTCAATTAGCCGAGTGCTCCATTCATTTTACTGAAGACCTTCGCATTAACGCAGGTGGGTGTTGTTTGTAGAATTAGCTTGTCATTCAACAGTGCTCAATTGAAATATATATATATATATATATATATATATATATATATATATATATATATATATATATATATATATGTGTTCTGAAACTATCAGATCACTTAATATTAACGAAAACAACTTCTTAGGTGTGTAGCAACTTAGTCCCCTTGGAAACTGACCCACATCCAGGAATCCTGGAATCCTTTCTACTTATTAGAACAATATGCAATGTCTTTTTGGGGGATTACCATCAGTTTGCTATTTCTGATATATAATCTCGCCCACTGTGTTTAAAGGGCAACTTTACCTTCACGAAAAATAAACAAACAGAAATCGTATTGCTCTAAATCAGAACTGTAAATAGCTGACATATCTGGATGACGTGAAAACAGAAATGCACTTGTAATGAGTTCACCCACAAGGTCATTGTAGATGGGACGGTCGTATAGAGCCATAAGAGCACCTGATGTGTCCCTCTGCCGATTGATTGATCAAGCGAAAGAGTGGCTGCTCATACATGCGTAGTAAGGTGCTCTCTGATCGTTTGCCAAGTTATATCAACGCCGTGTCGCCGGTTTTTGAGTTCTTCAAATTGACTTTCGTATTACATGCATGTCCTGAATGCGAAATTGGCTTACGTAGTAATGTATCTCCTCTGACACAAATATATTATATAACCTGCACCCTTAAAAGAGGCCATAAATGCTAAATATGTTTATGGGTTATTGAAGAATAATTAAAAGAAATCTATGGGTAAATAGCAGGACAGGTCGGGTTCTCTAGCCTTGGATGGCAACTGGTCTACCGCAGAAATAAATGGTAACCTACCGCAGGAAAAAATGCCTCGTAAGTCATGTATCAAAAGATACAAGATCGCCTAAGCGTGTATCACTCATGGTACATAAGTGACTGACCGGGAAAAAGTTGCCATGAAGTCTCTTTTTTGTATAAAGCTTTCAGTATGCGCTCTAAATAAAAATATCACAAAGACAAATAATTGGATCTGCCCACATCTCTTTATTATAATTATTATTAATTTATTGATATATTTTCTACCTGTAACAACACCATAAATGAGAGGCACAATGTGAAGATCAAACTCTAGCAATCGCGTTCTAGTGGTAGCTTGCTAAACGAACCTCCCCTGATATTTGTTAAGTGTCACTTATTCTGGCACGAATCCACAAGTGTAGGACACTCGGTGAGGAATGAACTAACTTACGTAGCAATAGATAGCTAAACTAGCTTGCGTAGTGATGTCCTCTTTGATTGTGTGCCAAGTTACATCAACGCCGTGCCACCGGTTTTTGAGTTCTTCAAATTGGCTCAGGACAGAACTCATATAAAGATACTTTCATATCTTATGCGTGTCTTGAATGCGAAATTGTTCCACAACAAGACGCCATTTTCTGAGAATTCAAAGCATCCTTAAATTTTTAACTAGATAAAGAATGCTGCAGTGGGACAATTTCTGTTGGAATGTTTAAAATGAGGAATTATCATTATTATATACCTTTCTATTCGGGCGAGTATCCTCACCTTGGTTGTTATACTGACAACATTTTGGTCATTGTATCCTACGACCTTCTTTCATCATTTATGCTGGAATTTCCGTGATGAGGAATTATTATTATTATATGCCTTTATATTCGGACTATTAATCATGGTTATCATACTCATAATGTTTCCGCTCTTGTATACTCCGGCCTTCTTTCATCATTTATATCGCAATCTTTTCGATGGGGAGTTATCATTATTACATGGCTTCCCATTTGGAGTAGTATTCTCATTCTAGTTGTTATACTTATAACGTTTCGAGCATTGTACATTCTGACCCACTTCAGATATCTGTCGTCGTATTCGATAATCTTTCCGGAGGTTTGAACCGAATCCTTTATTAAGTCCATGGGAACAGGCTCTTCTCATTCCGTTTTTCATGCTTGAGGGAGATCTCATATAAGTTAACTACTATTCATGAATACAAACCTCCTTACAGTTTGAGCATGAAAGAACACAAAATGTCAGGGTAAACGTGATTTTATAAATTACATTTACCCCTTCTTTTTTTTTCAAACTAAACCTGTACGCAAGAGACCCACCCCAGTGATGACAGCTGATATCTATAAATATGGTTAGTGTTGAAATTGCAAGATATCTCTAGGATATATCTTTTCGGTAGATGCATCGTGTTTGTCAAAAAAAAAATAAATAAATATATATATCTATGAGTAACTCCTGGGAATGTTGATACGATCGTAAAAATGGATTATGGATGAAAATATTGCCCACTGTAGTCATTGATTGATTAATTGTTTTTTTTTTTTTTTTTTTTTACGGCTTATCAACTCGTTGCAAGTTATTTAAAGCCAGAAAATATTTTTAGATAGTAAGAATTTTTTTGAGGGGTGATAATAATGGTTTAGTGATACAGGTTTTACCAATTAACCTATAGCTGGGAGGAGAAAAGGTGGATTCATACTTTTCTCAAGGGAATTTGTGCGTAAGTGAATATAACGAACTCAATAAGAATTGGAACTCGGCTCCTCGATTAGCAATTCCGAGCCATTATCCATTAGATCACCTTCACATACAAGCTTACAGCACCTTGTATTTCCAATCCGTCACGCATCGAGTTATTGACCAGGCTCGACATTGCTTAACTTCGGTGATCATACGGGAACCGGTGTTTCAACTATTAAAGGATGAAAGATTTTCAAGGATTTGACGTAATTCTAGGTTCTTTTGTTTTAGTTTTTTGTCAAAATCTGTGAATTTGTTTTGCTCATGCTAAACGTTCACTCTGATCCTAACTGTCCTTTTCACACTAGTCTGTAATATATATCATCCATTTCGCAATACTGAAAATATATTCAATATGATTAAACACTAACATTTAAAAGAGGGCAAATTTCTCTCTTCCAAATTAGTGATCAAATGCTTGCATCTCACGTTTGAAGAATCATCAGTAATGTTATCACTTTTCATTTGAATGTAGAAGTATATTTTTGCAGAAGCTGAAGGATTATATTAAATCCATTGCTAGGTCCGCTACTAGGAAAGTTGGTGCCCGACGATTTTTCTCGATAGAATCTATCATACATATTTATAAGTCTAATATTCATCCCTGTTTTGAATATTACTGCTACATCTGGTCTGGTGTTTCTGATATATATTTAGAGATGATTGATAAAATCCAAAGAATCTGCTACATTATTGGTCCTGACCTGATATCTCGGTATTAGTCACTTTCCCACCGGTGTAATGTAGCGTCCCTGCGTCCTTTTCTATATATACTTTCATGGTAATTGTTCTGATGAACTTTCCTCTGTATGAACTAGACTTTATAAATTTAAACGCAGTACTAGATTGGCGGTAAGGTCTCATCATTTTACAGTTGGTATGGCTAGTTGTAACCGCAAGTTCGACGTTAACAGTTTCTTCTTTCGCTCATCTCACTTGTGGAACTTTCTTTCGGATTTTCAAAAATTTATATTCAATGTCAATCATTATCTCGTGTCTTCTTAATTCCTGTTCTTTTATTGTTCTCTATCCTTTCTCATATTCTCTCTCAGTAAGCCCCTTGCGTCTTAGTAGCTTTATTGCCTTGCTTCACGGTGAAATGATTAAAAAAACTCTTATAGATAGATAGATAGATAGATAGATAGATAGATAGATAGATAGATCTGTAGCACTTCTCACTTGTGGTTTATCTGTAGCACTTCTCTCTTCCGGTTTATTGCATCCCAGTCAACTTTGAACTTCAAAATTGATCTTCAAAATTTTAAATGCATTTCATTTATTATCTTCTGTCTTCTTAATTTCTGTTTTTTTTTTATTGTTCTTGTTCTTTAATAATGTTTTTCTATTATTCTTTCTCACTTAGTATCTTTTTACATATTAGTGTCGTTACTGTCTTGCTTTATTAACATAGAATAAAAACAACAGTTGCAATATTATTTTTTTCATTTTGTTCAAATATTAACAACATAAAGCAAAAATTAACGTTACTGCAATTAAATATTTGAGCACATTCTTGAGCTCATGCGACAGACACCTGTAGAGAGCCATAAGAAACAATGCTCGAAACGTTGTGAGTATAGAATATTTGAACACAATGAAAAGAATAATATCGCATCTGTTGTTTTTATTCTATGTTAAATCGAACCCCTGTTAAAAAACACGATTCGTTCCTGGAGCTAAAAATGTAGTTGTAGGAAGAGAAAGGCTGGCCAGAGTCTTTTCGTAATAGTACAACCACTACAACGTTGGCTTATCCTCAGTGCTGCGTGCAGAGCCAGTGCGTACTACCCCGAACCTCCTGATTGGGGTTGTGATTGGGGGCTCTAGACAGTGCTTTGCGACCCTTGATATCTTATCAACATTTGATTTTTTTTATCTACATCTATATATATATTACAAATTAAGCGCAACTGACTATTAAAAGATGAAAGATTTTCACGGATTTGACGTAATGCTGGGTTCTTTTGTTTTTGTTTTGTTCATGCTAAGTCTTGAAAAAACAATATAAAATTCACTATTTTTTATCTATAATGTTGAATATGTTAAAATTATTCAACTTTTTAACAAGAAAAAGTTAACGTTAAAAATTGCCGCGAACCATTGTTAATTTCTTTAAGATCTGTTATGGCATGTCTCTAATTTATATTTAGATACGTTGCATTTATTTTCAATTTTTCTTGTTGAATGTTCCACCTGTATTGCATATGATCCACTATAGTAAATAATTAGGTTACAATAACATTTGTATTTTATATGGACCTCATGAAAATTAAGATGTGGTAGAGTGGTGGGGGCGTATCATAGATTTACACCGGTCCTGGCTGAGTGGCTCTATCGGTGTCCATCTCCTCGACAGCTCTGCAATTAAAACCTCTTACAAAAATTATAAAAAGAAAAACTATTTCGAGATTTTTCTTCTTTTTTTTCCTAAACCGGAATTAAACGTCACTAGAGACTTGAAAGAAGGCGTGGCTTTGGATGGCTGTGGATATATAAGCAGACTGAGATGAATGACCCAGCAGTCGAAAGAACCCAATCGGAGGAGGAAATATAAACGCCCTGTTTGTTCCGGACAAGACGTCGCTTCAACAACAGTAGGAGCAGCAGCAGCAGGAGAAGCTCAACCTTACTTCTATAATCACTGCCTGGTTGAAAGGAAGCTTTCTCATATATGATGACAAGTTCCGACTCTTTTTCTTCTTCTATGTGCCAGGTCCTTTCAAGACGTTGGCGATTATGGATCTTTATAATTTCCTGTTCATTGTATCTTAGTAATCTTTTTGGTAGCTCTCCTAAACCCTGTTCTGCAAATCATTTACGCAAGCTCATTAAGAAGGTTATGCGTAGTTTTACATTGTCTTCTTCTTGCTTTCAATCAGTGTCTAATCCCTATTTACTCATTATGTGCCCTAGAAATTTCAACTCACGCTTTCTGATGTTAAGTAAGTATAAGTGTCATGTTTGTTTTTGTTTTGTCTAAAACTTCATCGTTGCTCACATGTTCAGTCCATGATGTTCTCAGCATAAATCTATAGGACTATATTTCTTTTGATTCAAGTCTCTTCTTTATCTGTGAGGAGGCTGTTCAGCATTCGCTTCCATTGTGGTGGCACGGAGCAAGCGAAGGACCGGATGTTAACCCTCAGAGGTCTAAATAGCAAATGACCAATACTGGTCTTTACGCACCCGGCTCCACGCAGAATTTCCGGTGGAAAATAAAAAGAAATAAAAAGAATAATAAGCAATTTCCACCAATAAAACGGCTCCGCGCCATACCCAACAGTTTGCTTCAGCAGACTGACTCTGAGCCGATGGACACAAATAAATAGAGCGACAAATTCACTTCTGTGTAGAGAAAGCTTTGAAGTACCGTCAGAGAATGTCGCTACGCTTTCCTCTCCCATCAAACTCGACGCCTCCAACCTTCCTTCACCACCGGAATACCGAATGACTCCTACCAACACATTGACCTCACCTTTCATCTCCTGTGACCAGCACGCCTTAAACTTAAGTATTAACAAAGTGACTCTTATATTCCTTTAATAATCCAATTTCTCTTATATGAATGAACATTTTTATAACGGACTTTTGTGCGTGTGAATCAAGAAAAATTGTACTATTCATTGATGTTGTATTTTAATACAAATTGTTTTGATACACCCTTCTCTTTTGTATGTTATTTTGTTTATGTATGGTGACCTCTAATTGATTGCTTGTTGAACCTTTAGGCCAAACTAGCGGCTGTCCCGAAGGACTGCTACTACTACCTACCTTCTGATAAAAGCAACAAGTAACAACGAATCCACCCCCCCACAAACACCATACCATATAGGAGCACTAATATTACACAGCAGTTCAACACATTTTTCTTTGTTTCGAATGAAATTTTCATGTTTCTTAATACTTCGTTTAGCTTTTGGAAAGCGTCTTTTACTATCCCCTCAGTTCGGATTTTGGTGTCTCACTTTCGGTTTAAAAACACTTCCTAGATATTTAAATTGTGCTCGCTTCATTTTGGTATCTCCAATTTGATATTTGCATGTTGAACTGTTCTTTTTACTGACAACAATTCATTCTGTCTTCTTGCAATTGATGTTTAGTCCTTTCTTCTCGCTTTCCTTCACTATCTTCTGTTTTTGTCTCTTGTGTTTCTCGTCAAATAAGGTTTTCTTCCAAAATATCTCAAAAAGGCTTGAGGAACTTTCTATCTGTCTAAAAGAACTATTCGGGCACAAAAGAATTTTTTTGCAACTTTTTCAAAACAATTGTTCATTTTTTTCCTACAGTTTGTATTTGCTTCTCGTGTTACATTTTGTAATAGCCTTTTTTATTATTGTATAATAAAGGCGTTTTGTTGTTGTTATTTTATATCTACACTAGCAGCATGGCCCGGCGTTGCCCGTGCTTGATTTAAAAAATCGTACGACTCATACAGCAATCGCTATCACTTGACTTAAAATATTTTTAACCTTCCTTGCCTTTAAAGGAGTGCCCTTTGCCGTTCTGATGTTGCTACATGCCTTACTTCTTGCCTATCTCACACTGCGAATTTTTTCTAAGCCCTATACTAAACATTAAATCTGTTACGAAAAAAGAACTAAACAAAATGAACACAAAACGATCAGCTTGAAAAAAAAGGACTCGTAACTGGAAAAACCGAATGAAAAAAGAATGTTAACAACAAATACTTTTTCACACCCAACCCAGTTATGCGGAATCAGAATCAACGTTGAGTTTAAGCAAGCGAATGAGCCAATTGGATTAAAGTGCCATGCAGATTTAAATTTTTCCCACTTGTGACGAATGTAGCTATCAATTTGTTTTGCATGCTAGCATGCTAGTTAACATTCGTGTCAGTCAGCTGTTGGCTCTCACGCTGGCCAGTAGAATCTTCCTGCCTATTTGTGGCAGCCAGCTATAGGCTCTCACTCTGGCCAGTACAAAATGGCCGCAGACTACATGAAAACTGCCGTAGAAGTATGAATAAATCGATTATTTCCACTATCGATGGGAGTTGGGGAATGCAAAGTCGGTCTTGACCTTCCCGCGAACTTGGAGCATGTGCATGTAAATTTTGGTGCAAATCTGTCGAAATTGCGGCCGTGCATTCGTTACACACACACACACACACACACACACACACACACACATACACATCCTGCCTTTTATAGA